AAGGCTCTGAGAGGTAAAATAATAAAATACAGCTTTTATTTAATCCAGACACCCGCAAGGACTCATACTCCGTCTTGCTCCTTTCTCTTGCTGGTTTAGGGTTTAGGGTTTAGGGTTTAGGGTTTTAGGGTTTTAGGGTTTTAGGGTTTAGGGTTTTAGGGTTTAGGGTTTTCGAGTGTACGGATAGGTGGGATCAGGGTTTAGGGTCTAGGGTTTAGGGTAATTCCTTTTTATGGAGGGCTCAGGGTTTAGGGTTTAGGGTTTAGGGTTTAGGGTTTAGAAGCTGAGTGGTTGCAGTCCATTATATTTGTCAGCCTCAATCAATTTTTCTCCGTTTATTACACCGCTTCTTTTGCTACAAATATATATACATATATATATATATATATAGATATATATGCATATATATATACATACATATATATGTATATATACTTTTAAAATTATTAAATATATGTGTATGGATATGTATATGTATATATATGAATAATACTATATATATTACTGATGATGTCTACAGCTCTAATTGTTGTATGTCCTGCTGCATGCACCAAACCCCACATTAATAATGCATGCAGTAATTTATCAAATAATTAAAAGCCCCACTCTAAATGCATGCATGCATGCATGCATGCATGCATGTGCATTTAGAGTAATGTAGGTAGTTAATATATAATTTAAATGCTATTAATAATCAATTTGCCTGCAGGGAGATTTACAAGAAAAACCAAATCTATTATTAGCAGATGCTAGGCTATGGTTTTGCTTCTTTTACTTTTAAATTCTTCTCTCTTTATTGCTATCGATAGAAACTCTAAACCCTAAACCCTAAACCACAAACCCTAAACCCTAAACTCTCAAATATACCTAGTAGATTGATAGATGCAATTAGGGGCTCCAGTTAACGGGGACAACAACCCCACTGAAATTATATATATATATATATATATATATATATAGATAATGAAAGGATATACAATAGGTAGTATATATAATATAACTTGTGCATAGACAATTTAATAACACCCCCTCGCGATACAAACGATTTATTTGGTGTTATTTATATATTTAATAATTTAAACTTGCAGCAAACAAATCACAGAAAAAACAAAGAGAGACTTTTCTAGGAATATTTTGGGGCTTTCGTTGCATGCAGCTGCATGCAGCTGCATGCAGCTGCAGTTTGTGGTTGTAGAAGATTAATAAATTGATGTTTAATTTTGTTTTATTAATATTTTTACAATTTAAAAGCTAGTTGAGAGTTTGTTAATAAGAAGAAGTGTGGGGTGTACAGCTGCTGCTGCTGCTGCTGCTGTAGCTGCTGCTGGTGCTGCTGCAGGCGTACCTTCTTCCTTCCTTGAGTTATTTACCCTGTTTAAATATCTTCTTAAAACCCTAAATAAATATAAAATAAACAAAAACAAACAAATAAAATAATAATTATATTTTCATTCAGCTGCAGATGCCTCGGCGAAAGAAGACGAGGGGCCCTGAGGAGGAGGAAGGCGAATCTGCTGCTGCAGAGCAGCAGCAGCAGCAGCAGCAGCAGCAGCAGCAGCAAGGAGAAGATGGGGATACACCTGGAGATGCAGCAGCAGACAAACAAAATAATGCAACAACAGGAAAGAAGGGTAAATATCGCAAAGACAAGCCCTGGGATACAGACGACATTGAACACTGGAAGATAGAGCCCTTCCTCCCCGTATGCAAACCCTAAACCCTAAACCCTAAACCCTAAACCCTAAACCCTAAACCCCATAGATTCTATAGACCCTATAGACCCTAAAGACCCTAAACCCTAGTCCCCATAGACCCTACAATGTAAACCCTAAACCCTAGACCCTATAGACCTAAACCTTCAACCCTAAACTCTAAACCCTAAACCCTAAGGCCTCGCTAAACCTGAGGGCTTATATTATTGTATGGGGTTTAGGGTATAGGGTATAGGGTCTAGGGTTTAGGGTTTATAGCTGTAGAATGCTTGTGCTGTTGTTTTGCTTCGTTGCTGCCTTTCATGGTTTAGCGCTTCGATTTAGTGTTTAGGGTTTAGGGTTTAGGGTTTAGGGTTTGTGCATGCGCTAATACAAAATATACAGTTCTCTCTTCAGAATTGAATGTACCTCTATCACATCTTCTGCTTTTGCTGCTTCTGCTGCTGCTTCCTCTGCTGCTGCTACTGCTGCTGCTGCGATTTCTTCTTCTGCTGCTGCTC